TGTTCCATAATGTTCCAGAAACATCTGTAAAGTGTCAGTGTGTTTGACAGATTTTTTCCTAATTCAGTGCATAGAAACTGAATCATAGATAACAATGGCAAATTGAAAATAGAAGAGAAAGCATTAAAAACAAAAATAGAAAAACATAAAATAGCAGCTATTTAGAATCCATGTTGAAAGTATCATTATAAAAAGGAGTATTTAGGACTGCCACTTACATTTTAAGTGTTTTTGGATAGGTTTATTTTAGAATGGGATGTGTACTTAGGTACATTTGAAAAGCATAAAGTTACCTTCCTATGATTCGGTGTTCTATTAGGAATATTAGTCATTATGTTGTGAGCTGGTGACAGAGTAAGATCCGCTGGGACGTGGAGGCTCTCTGGTCCCCCGTGAAATAGGAGCATATACGTGTGCTCACGTGGTTCTTACTTTCACTGTTTATCATTTTCTGTATGAGACGGTAAACTGTTATCTCCAAAGGCTTTGCTCACCCTGTTTCTTCTAATTTGCTCTTTAATTTGTTATGTCCTGGAAGACTAGACAACCAAACTCATTGGATATAGGTGGAGAATTAGAGAAAAAAAAAAAAACGGAAAAGGGGGAAGGGTATGATTAGAAGCAAACATTTTGGTATCTGGGTTTAGGCCAATGTGTCCTTGGCCTAAAATCTTCATCTATGATGTCCTGATGATAACTGTACTTTCCTCAAGGTTGTTAAATAAGTGAAACATTAGAGCATTTAAAACAGTCCTGGAACTTACAAATACTAGCTATTATTATAGTTGAGTGATCTCTAGGAACTGTATAAATACTAGTGATTATCAGTTTGAGTGATGTTTATCAACTGTATAAATATTAGCTATCATTATTTTTTAGTGATGTCTGTAAAAACTAAGAATTCCTTCAACTTTTCTTTCCCTAATTTTTTTTTTTTCCTAAAATTCTGGTCTTATTTTATGACTGTCGATAAGATACTGTAAGGTTTGCTGTTGTTTTTTTTTTCTCCCCTTAGACCCTGTGCTTTCTTATTAAATTTATTTCTAAGTATTTTGTAATTTTTTAAAATCTCATTTTAGTTTCTAGTTGGGTATTTCTGAATAAAGAAAAACTTGATTTTGAATATTTACCTTTTTATTTAATCACCCTACCAAACTTTTTGGTTAATTTTAATGTTATTTTTAGCAAATACTAAAGCTATTTAGTTAAACAATCATATAATCTACAAATAAAGATAAATTATTCTTTTCAATATTTATAATGGTTGTTTTATTTTCTTGAGTTATTGCATTAATTTGAACCTCTGAATGAATGTTGACAGTAGAGGTAAGAGTGAGAATTCCTGTCTTTTTCCTAATTTTATTGGAAATGGCTTTGGTGTAGTTTCATGTTTGCTATGGGTTTTTAGTAAATTTTCTTATTCATGCTCAAGTAGTTTCTTTCAACTCCTATTTTTATTAAAAACTTTTATTTGTCATATCTGCTTAAGTTCATTAACAGCCTTTTTTTCTTTTACTAATATTATTTGCTAATATTTTCCCTTTAATTTATTGATGTTATGAATTATTGATACCTTTAGTAAACAGTTTGTATAACATGTAATTGGACTACCAAGAAAATTTTTATGACTGACATCCTAGTTTTAGATTAGATGAGCTTGTTTTAGTTTTAGTTTTTGTGACTGATGAGCTAGTTTTAGGTTAGATTTCTGGCTCCATGTAACATGTTGTTATAAAAAAAAGAGTCAAGATAGAAGAGGCATGAGACCAAGAAGAATCCTAAATAGTTTTATAATATTTTAGAACAGTAAGAATTTCAATATAATTGTTTTCTTGCTCTCTAGGAATTTAAGGTTCACATTAGAGGCAACACGAAAGCAACAAACATAAGGCAAATAAGCATATACTCACCTTATTTGGAATACAAGGAAAGGGATATAACAGCTAATTTTCAGGTAAATTTTAGATTTTAGGCAAGGAAGGCAAAGAGCCAGAGAAAGAGAAGGGAATTGAAGAGGGAACCTGCTTCCTGAATTGTCACTCTTGTAGCTGTTGTTTTTCTGATGGACTGAAGATGTGATTTCTGTTTTCAATTGTCAGCCCCATCTGAGTTCTGAGTTAACACATAGATACACAATGACAACAAGCACATTTGTCGCTATGAAAGGGAAACAATGAGTGGCTATGGGGCAATTTGTGGCAGGAGGTGTGGGGAAAGAGCCTGGGGGGCTGGGGTCTTACTTGACATTTCCCTTGTTTTGAGAAGTCAGCATAACTGCATCGCTGAGGTTGGCCAGAGGGTTGCTGCTCCAGGAGCAGGTACCACCACAGGCGGCTGCCCGCAAAGCATCCCCAGGATGTGGGGACGGCTCTCCCCGCCAGAGAGAAAAAGAAAAACCAAAACAGGCATTTTGCAGAGCCACACATGGGATGCCCACATACAAGTCGTGGGGCTTGTGGAAAGGTTGAGAGGATATTGTGGTAAGGAAATGTAATGTGGAGTGAGAGTGAAGAGAGGATGGTTTCCAGAGCCTCACAAACTGGAGGGGTTAAGAAAGAGCGTTCTCAGTGCTAATGGCATCATCAGGGAATCTGTCTGGGGTTTGGAGGGCCTAGCACGGTCCATGCATGGGTTGGTGCTCAGCCGGGGTTGGCCGCATGGAGGGACTCAATAATGCACTCTTAGGTGAAGCCCAAGATGGTCCTGCCAAGCCTGCATTCCGGATTACCCTAAAAGTGAAGATAAATGTGGGTGAGAGGAGGTGAAGTCTGAAATTATAGACAGGAATTGGGGGAATGCAGGGTTGGTCTTCTGTGGAGGAACTCTTTTCTGTATCTAGGACCATGGAAAATTTGGCTTTTTCCCAGTGCTTTTTATAGTTCCCCAAAGTAGCAGTTCCAGATGTTAGAAAGGCAGACAGGTGATCTGCTGACCCCAGGTTTAACGAGGAATGTAATTCTTTCACACTAAATCATGGGCTTTTTCCCAGTGCTTTTTATAGTTCCCCAAAGTAGCAGTTCCAGATGTTAGAAAGGCAGGCAGGTGATCTGCTGACCCCAGGTTTAACGAGGAATGTAATTCTTTCACACTAAATCATGGTTTGGCCCAACTATTGAAGGCACTCTAGGAAGGGACGTGCTCAAAAGGACAAGGGTGGGAGATGGGGCTGCCACGCCTAACATGGCAGCTCACTACCTTTTCCTTAAGTTCACAGTGAGATGCCACATAATAGTCAAAATTGTATTAAAAGAAGTCTGTAACCGTCATTGATTTGGGATTCGGTGTTGCGTTTTATTAGTTTATCTCTGCTTAATGCTTATTCATACTTCCTAATTCCAGGGCATTATTCAAAGTAAAAAAATTAGAAACCCAACATGGCCATATTTCTACTATACATTGCTATATCTTTATGGTTTCTCTGCCGTCTCTCCTAAGAAAATGTATTTCCTCTTCCACTGATTCCTGAGATAGCTTTTCTTGTTCTACTTGGGGCCACAAAAGCAACATTAGGGCATAAAATTTGCTGGGAAATGGTGCTTCTTGAAGATAAAGGGTCCAAAAAGGGAGATGAGACTGCTTGACAAAGACTTTTCATGCAGCCAATCAAAAAAACATAAGCTACGTCATGATTATGTTTATTTTCAAGATGGAAAATATATACTTTTAGATAGATATCCTACATTTTGGTTTGGTCCATGGAAATAGACATGACTCCTATTAAAAGGATTCTCTCACTAGTGTAACATTGACAAAAAAGAAAGCAGGAATATGAACCAAACTTACATAACGGCTGCTTTAGTAAGTAAAATTCAAATGACTTTTTGTTTTGTATTTATAATATAAATTAGTAGTACATCTTATTATAGGTTAGAAAACTAAATGTGGGTGAGGACTAGCTATTATGGATTTTGTTTTCCCAGAGAAAAAGGCAGTCTTTGCCAAGATATGATAAAATACACACGCTGGTTCCCTATAATCTGGTAGCAGATGCTTTCCCAGCCTTCTGATCTATTCCACTTTCAACCACTTTTAGAGCTGATCTTTTACTAAATTAAAATCATGAAGACAGTCCAAAAGTTTAACATTGGAGTTTCTTATCAAATCCACGTAGGAGAGAGAAAGTGATATTATTTTATCTTGTTTATCTTTTTCCTTTTGGTACTGACTTGCAAGAAAATCCAGACAGGTTGCAGAGTTGTCTTGCCAGCCTTCTGCAGAAGCCATGGTGAGGCCAAATTATTATTCCTCAGTGTTTCTTTCTTTTAAGTTTACATCTTTAAGGAATAAACAAAATGACCTGGCTTATTAAAGTTTCTAAACAGGTTAAAAAAATAAAGAGCACCTTTAAAAAATACTTTGGTCTAAAAGTAGGTATAGTTATATATATAACTTTAAAGCACACATTTGATTTTATGCTAAATATTGGTTCAGTTACTCCAGAACTTTTATAATAATTTGTTGAGCAGTTGAAGACTTTGCCTGTTGATCAGTACGCCTGAAGATGACTAGAACCTGTGAAACCAAACTTACATGAGGCCCCTCTCCTTGTCTCCATCACACTACACATATGCTAGAGCCAGAGTCAGAAAAGGATCAAAAGATTCTCAAGAATTGTCCTCCATGCTGAAGTAGAATCCTGCCCACCTTGGTAACGTTAGTCATCACACCGTACCATTAAAAATATGCAAAGCCTTGTGGAAAGGCTGTTTCTAAGTATGTTTCTTAGCTGTTTCTTTTAAGCATGCTTGAATTTGTTATTGTGCTTGCTGCTTGCATTATACAGACCTGAGAAGCACAATTCTGACCTACATTTTTGACTCTGGGTCTGACCTGACTGGAGAGCCGCAGGGGAACTGTCTGCGGAGACAAAGTGTACCTTGCTCGTGGCGAGCGCTGGGCTAGATGCAACCCTGACTTCCTCCCCTTAGGCAGCAAGCTCTCCTTCTGCTGAGGTGTCCCGTCACTTTGCCTAGCCAAAAAGAAACTTGGCTAGCCCATGAACTACTTGTGCTTTCCATGGAGCAATGATAGGTAGTTTTCTCTTTTCTATCACGATTCCCTCCTTGCCTGGAGTATGTCCTTTGGGACAGAGCTCTTATGCCATTTTTTAAAAGACAATGAAGTGAATTTCTGAGGTCTGATATTTTTTTCATTGCTATTTGGGAGCCCTTCTTCCCAACAGAAGGGGGACAGAGGACAATACCCCACTTGCCAAAAATGTCATGTTAGAAAATTCCAAACCTTTCTGCAGCCTACTGGCAGATGCTTCCCAGGTTGGAATCGAGGACGCCTGATTTTGGTGTCAGAATTCCTTAAGTCTAAAGAGACTTTGCTTATTAGTTACGTAACTTTCTAGATGAGGAGCAGTGATTACCACTCAGCTTTGGAAGGAATAGGAACTTGACCAAGGTTAAAAGTTAATGGCAGGGCTGGGAGGTTAGCTCACTTGGTTAGAGCACAGTGCTGATTACAGTAAGGCACCAAGGTCAAAGGGTTTGGATCTCTGTACCAGTCAAGAGAATTAAAATTTAGTTTCACATTTGCCACAAATTTTCTCTTGGGAATGGAGAAAGCATATTTTTTTAATTTCCTAATTATGGACTGGGACTAATGTTTGGGTAATTACTTTTCTCCTTTTCTTGGTTCCTACTTAAGTGCTATGTAGCACTAGGTGTAAAACATGCTTCATGCCTAAGCTCATAATTTCATTTTGTTTTTGTTTCATTTTTATTATTTCTTTTTTCAACAGGTTATACTGCTATTACTACTATATGTAGCCAGAATAATTTCTTAATGCTTTTCATACCTGTAATGAGACAATCACTAAATAATATCAAGTCCAAAAAGCAGTTTCAATGTATACATAACAAAGCCACTCTGAATCAGCCATTTATTTTCACATGGCACTAATTAATCTGTCTTCTGCTCCTACCTCTGGCTTGAAAGGTGCCAGGACGAGTGTCCAGTTGGGACCTTCGGAGTTCGCTGTGCTGAGACCTGCCAGTGTGTTAATGGTGGGAAGTGTTACCATGTGAGTGGGACGTGCCTCTGTGAAGCAGGCTTTGCTGGTGAGCACTGTGAGGCCCGCCTGTGTCCAGAGGGACTCTATGGCATCAGGTGTGACAAGTGGTGCCCCTGCCATCTGGACAACACTCATAGGTGAGTGTCGGCTGCTCTGCAAGGACATGTCCTATTAAAGTTTTAACCTCAGTGTCCAGGACCTGTGTCCAGAGGGACTCTATGGCATCAGGTGTGACAAGTGGTGCCCCTGCCATCTGGACAGCACTCATAGGTGAGTGTCGGCTGCTCTGCAAGGACATGTCCTATTAAAGTTTTAACCTCAGTGTCCAGGATTTGGAAGGAGGAAATGACAGAGAGTTTCCTACCCCAAAGCCCTTCCTGCCTCTGAGCTATCCTGGGTCCAAGTAAATCACCAAAAGGAAGAGATTTTCTCTTTCTGAGTGATGGCCCCTGTCAGAAGTGCTAAAATTGTTAGATGATTGTTGGTGGATATTAAATTCTATTCTCTATTCATGGCCACTGGTAAAATTTAATTTGCTGAGGTTAGTAGAGCTTTTCCCTAAGAGAGGGATTCTGTGACATTCCCTTAGAAGCAAAGATGCAATGAGAAAGAAGAGGTAAGCCAAGTTTAGTATGTAAAAATATCATAAAGTGACTCTCACTGCAACATCTTTTACTTGACAGCACATCTGTGGAAGAAAAAAAGACTATAGAGAGGAAGTGTACTGGTGGAAGTTTTGTAAAAGTGTTTCACATGTGGCTGTCACATGTGAAATATCTTTTCAGAATTGATTACTCTGACATAGAACTCTCAAGGATCTTTTACCTCAAAAATCTCTTGAAGAATTTGGGAACAGGAAACCACGATCCCACCCACCCTACTGTACCTTGTCTGCCCTTGAAAATATCTTCCCTCCTCCTCTTTTCTTTTTCTAACCCCCAAGGACCAGATGCACATAACTTAGTGTTCTGGGCCTCCTTTGCAGAGTGCTGGAAGAGCTGAGTTTGACAAAAATGTAGTGCATTATATAGCAGTTCAGATGTTATTAGAATTACTTTTATTTGCATTCAGCACAGCTGTTACTTCATTTATACTTCAGAAAGATAACTCATGGCCACATCAAGTCCCAAATGCACAAAAGTTAAAAGTAAACAGAAGCATGTGGTTGGTCTCGTCTTTAAACCATTGTAAGGGTAAAAAACGGACTTTGCATTCTGTGTGTGTGTGTGTGTGTGTGTGTGTGTGTTTGTGCTGGAAAACATTTTAGTGGGATATATCAAAGAAGTTTATTCTCAGTGTGATTCAAGTAACTTTGTAAGCCACTTCTGCAAGTCAACGTTTAGTTTTCTTCATTGGAAAATATTGCCATTCTTTATATGACAAGTTTAGGTAAACATTTGGAGAGTAAAAGTGAATCCTATCTGCAGTTTTTTTGTTTTTGCTTTTGTTTTTAACTTTCCAATATTTAAAGAGCTGGCAGAATTAGGGGCAAGTCATGAATTTAGCTCCCTTTCCTGCAGTGTAAGGCTCGTTGCAACAAAAGGTAAGCCTAATGTAGCGATAGCTGAGAACCTTACTGTATACCAGTGTGCTGTTTTGTTGTTTGTAGATATAGCTGAAATCGAATGGAATAATAATCCCATACAAAGAAAGAGCTCTGCTATGAGAAGACTTGAAGAAGCAGAGACAATGTTGGCTTTGTTGGAATTGGGATACCATGTTGGTAGTGGCAAAGTACAAGTGGAGAGTTATTTAATTAATGCCAGTACCATGATAATTTTGGCATAGATTACATGTACCTAAGCATGTATGCTCTAACCAAGAAGTACATGAGATTTACAATGACATAGGTCAAAATAACACTAAAATCTGTCTAATAATGTATATCAAATAATCAGAAGATTAAAAAACAATTAACCTATTAAGTACTTCCCTAAGTCATAAAAGCTATTTTTAAAGATTAGCTTTTACAAATATTTATTAAAACCACTTGAATATTGATTATATGACTCTGTCTTGTTGAATCCACAGTTGGAGTCATCCATCTAATTCTTATATCTCAAACTTCCATGTAAAATTCCTGGAAACACAAGGTCTCTTTGAACCGAAAGCATAGAATCTTTTTGTATTAACTAAAAGCCTAGCTTGTGGACTTTACCATTTAATCAAGCAAGTGGAGCTTTGCTATTACATAATTCATAATGTATATTTATCCTAAAGCCTTTCATTATAATAATTAAATTAATAATTATAATTAGTAATTATAACTATAATAAATAAATTATAATTAATGCAACATAAATTAATAATTTACATTGTCTTTAGGTAAATTTTTTTTTTTTTTTTTTTAAAGATGACCAGTAAGGGGACCTCAACCCTTGGCTTGGTGTTGTCAGCACCACGCTCAGCCAGTGAGCAAACCGGCCATCCCTATATAGGATCCGATCCCGTGGCCTTGGTGTTATCAACACTGCACTCTACCGAGTGAGCCACGGGCCGGCCCCTCTTTAGGTAAATTTTGAGTTCTCTGGTTGTACGTATTGACATGTATTGCAGCCATAAATTTGTGTAGGGGTTTGTATCAGTTAGCTTTTGCTGCATAAAAGAAAAACACTACCCTAAACTTAGAGGCATAAAACAATATTATTTATTAGGCTATAATTCTTTGCTTGACTATTTGGGCTAGGCTCAGCTTGGTGGTTCTTCTTCTGGTCTTTCCGTGTTCAGCTGGCAGATTGACTAGAGGCTGATTGGTCCTGAATATCCTCACTCCCATGTCTGGCATTTGGCTGGGTGATGGGGTGACTGAGTGGCATGTCTCCAGCATCTAGCAGGCTAGCCTGGGCTTCTTTACATGGTGATTGGCTTCTAAAAGCAGCAAGAGACAGGGCAAGCCCCAACATGCAAACACTTTTCAAGCCTTTGATTGTGTCACGTTTGCTAATGTCTCTTTAGACAAAGAGAGTCACATGATCAAGTCCAGATTCAATGGGAGGAGTTGCAAAGAATTTGTAGCTATTTTTATTTTGCAGTCTATCATAGGGTTGAGGTAAATTTAATATATTTGTAAATAATATTAGTATTTTAAATTTTAGCACTATTATTGAGCATCAAGACAGTGACCTGGACTTTTCAACTGAAAACTAACTTTTATGGTGGAAATAATTTTGAGCAAGAAAACAAAATTTGAGATTTAGTAAGATTTCACATGGGATATGTATATTAGCTCTTGTTAATAAAGATATATAACGGCCGTGAGCAATCAGGATGTGCCTATTTGCAAACGCTACCTAATTATCATTACATTTGAGCATTAATAACATCTAAGGAAATGAATAAAACGAAATACAACTCATTTTATTTTAGCCAATATTATATAGTACTGTATTCTTGTTATAATTTAACTATTAAATTGGAAAATTTAATAGAATATATGTATCTAGTTATATGTGTGTATCAAATGACAAGTATTCCCGTATGTGTGTGTAATCCTATTTTCACACACGCAGTCTGTTCTTTAGACAGAAAACAGGTAGTGAGTGTATCACTCCGAAACCTCTAATCTGCTGCTCCTACATCAACACGTAAATCTCATTACCAATTAACCTGCCGGCATGAGAACCCATCAAATGCCTCCGAAGTGCTCTGGCTTCCTACATCTAATTACAAATTGCAGAATGCTAATTTTGGTGTCAATCAATCTGAGAACCAGTGTGCTGCACTCACACTCACTGGGGGGCACTGAATATCAATTTCTCTGTCTGCCTCTCACTTAGTTCAATTCTCTGTCCCTAAATTGTTTATTTTATTTAACATTTATGAGTACATCATGATGTTATTTTCTAGCTTTTAATGAAAAGCAATATTTTCTACCAAAAATATCCTTTCTTGCACAGTATGTTAAGATAAGGTTAACTATTTAAACCAATTAATCACTTGAAATATTCTTTTCCTTTTCTCAAATGTAGGACCTTACTGAAGTAAATTTGCCTCATTAAATAAATTTAAAATGTATTTTAGAAACAGTACAGATTTCTACTGGTCCTGCTCACCCCTTCATCTGTGCTAAATCTTAAGTTTTAGCAATTCTCTTTCATGTCTACTACCCCTAGCAGGCTGCTAGCAAACTCCCTTATTTTGGTATTAAAAAAAACCAAAACTGGGTGCAAGTTTGATTCTGCCACTACCTATGTGAAACTTTGAATAAATTACAATGTCTAGGCCTCTGTTTTCTTATTTAAAAATGGTATCCTACCTCCCACTTAGTGTGGTAGGAATTGAACTAAATAAAGTGCATGGAGTGCTTAGCACAGTGCTGCTCAGTAAACACTAACTGCTAGTCTGTGCATTCACCTACAGCATCATCACGAGCATCACAGAAGTGAGTGTTCCCAATTAATAGCAACTTCCTTTAAGCCAAGGCTGTAACATCTTTTAAGCTAACTTCAGGTGAAATTCTGCCTTTGTATACAGGTATGCTGATTATAATTTAACGTTGCTTGATGACTCAGAGATGTCTGGGAGAAGCAGATTAGTGTGGGGAAACTAGATCCACTGTGTATCAGCTGTGACATTTTCACTTGTTCAATCAATCAGTATTTACTGTGAGCCTACCGTGAATAGGGACAGGTAACAGAACAGACTTAATTCTTGCCCTCATAGAACTCATGGTCTAGAGGGGAAGGAAGACATTACAGGACTGTAAACACAAGCACAGGATCACAAATTGTGCCAAGTGAGATGAGGAGAAAGAACAGGTGCTACGAAAGAGAATGATGAAGAGACCTAATTTAAATTTGGGTGGTCAGGGAAGGCCTCTGGGAGGAAGAAATGTTTAAGCTGAGACTGGAAGAACAGGATGGGGAGAGATAGGCAGAGAGTAGGGAAATAGCATTCTAGGAATACAGAATCGCCTATGTGGAGGCCCTTAAGTTGAAAACTCAGTAGGTTTACGAACTAAAAGAGAAATCCAGTGTTGTAGAGAGCATAATGATGAAAGAAGAGGTTGAGGAGTGGGCAGTGGCCAGATGGTCAGGCCCTGGGGACTGTCTTTAGGATGATCATGTATCTGGTTTTGCAAGAACAGTCTGCCTTAGTCCTGTTGGCCTGGTATAATTATTAGAAGATCCCTCTTCACTTTAAAAAATGCCCTGGCCTAGACAATAAATTATATAGTCACTCTAGCTGTATCAAACAGTATGAATCTTATACTAAGTGTAGTGGGGAGCCTTTGAAGAGTTTTAAGGAGGAGAATGATATGATGCAGTTTACTCTTTTTTTTTTTTTTTTTTTTTTTTTTGTCCTTTTTGAGACCGGCCGCACCGCGCTCAGCCAGTGAGTGCTGTGAGCGCACCGATCATCCCTATATAGGATCCGAACCCGCGGCGGGAGCGCTGCTGCGCTCCCAGCACTGCACTTTCCCGAGTGCGCCACGGGCTCGGCCCGCAGTTTACTCTTTAGGTGATGAGCATCGGAGCGTGCAGGGAGGCCATTCAGGAGTTTGGGAGATAGTGTTGGCTTGCAGCAGGATGGTGACAGTGAAGATGAAGAGAAGGGGACAGATTCAAAAGGTATTTCAGTGTTAGAATGGTTAGGTCCTAGTGATGAACTGGACGTGGTAAATGAGGCAGAATGACTCCTAGGTAAACAGAGCGACTGGTGGTGTCATTTATGGAAATACAGAGGATTGGGGTAGGTACTTTGTGAAGAAAGAAGGCAGGCAAGAACAAGGGCTGTTTTTGACATGTGAAGTTTGAGGTGCAGGTGTTTGCTTGAGGATAAGTGGTTTGCCCAAGAGTAACAGCAGGTAAGTAGACTTGATAGATCTAAGTAGAGCTAAGTATATCTGATACTCAAGCCCTTGTCTTCTGAATCTAAACGTTCTATACCCACGAAACCATTCCAAATGTAGGATGGTACTTGGATATCTTCATGCCCTGTTTTCTGAATGTGTTTGTGATGGACGTCTATGCCTTTGCTGTGACATTTAGTTGCAGCTGGGGTCTAAAAGTGTACTTAAATATATTTTTGAAAATGAGGACTGAACCATCCAACCCATACCCTTTTTCAAAGAAGAAGGAGGAGAATGAGGAAGGGCAGGGGAAGAGAAAGGGGCAGGAGAAAGGTGGGAAATGAGTTTATGGGGTGTGGCTGAGATCCCCACTTGACAGACTAGGACATCAGGAGGTTCTGTGCTTTCACTAGGGTTACTCAGGTGGTGGGAGTACTGGAAGTACTTCCTCAGTCTACATCCCTCCCAGGTCATCATTCTTCCAAGAGTAGAAAATCTATGAACAGTCCTCTAAATAACGAGAGGTCATTTAGCAAATGTTTGGATGCGACAGCAGATTTTGTTGTTTGCCCTAGCTAAGGGCAGGGTTTTAGCTCCAGCAGGGAAGGAAGACCATGTTTACACAGTCTTCCAATTGTCAGCAGAGCTAGTTTGATTGTTAAGATTTTCCTGCTGTGAGCAGCACATGTGTTTTGAGCCAGCATGCCACAGAGTGCCCTATTGTGTCAGCACACTTACACGTGCATCTTAGCACAGCTGATGTGTCCATTTGCTATGAAGCAACAGCTGGCTGCCTGGCCAGTCAATATGGCTGCTGTTTCAGGTAGAGACCAGCTGCTCTGCTACCAGGTATTGGGAGCTGAGAGGAGAAATTGGCTGGTGAGGTTACTGCTTTTGAAGTTCTTTGGACATCATGCTGGTTAACTGATTGGTATCGTTCACTGGATGGAGTTTTTTTAGTTCTTCTCAGGGAATTGAACTCTTATTTGATAAGTGCTTTCAATTTAAGAAAATTAAAAAGAATTTCAGACAAAAGGATGTTGTTGTAATAGTCATCCTGCTAGAGCATAATACTGGTTTTATACAAAATTTCTGTAGTACCAATTGGGTTTCAGCCAATTAATTAAATCACACCAAGCATGGGAATGAAGTTTAAGTTATTGTGCATGGAATTACCCACACATTTAGTGATCATGGCTAAAGCAGCATTTGCACAGGCCTTGGGTGTCATGTTTACCCCAGAGTAATTTGTTCCTTCCATCCACATCTCTCAGCTGTCACCCCATGTCTGGAGAGTGTGCCTGCAAGCCGGGCTGGTCGGGACTCTACTGTAATGAGACATGCTCTCCTGGATTCTACGGAGAAGCTTGCCAACAGATCTGCAGCTGCCAAAATGGGGCTGACTGTGACAGTGTGACTGGGAAGTGCACCTGTGCCCCGGGATTCAAAGTGAGTGACGTGGGCTCTGAAGAAAGGAGGAGAGGGTGCAATATGGAGCATATCAATACCATGATTTATATGACCTTCTGTGAGGTACAATGAGTGTGCTAAAATCATTCACATCTTTAACGAGAAAGAGAATAAAGAGAAAAAAGAAGAAAAGAGAATAAAGAGAAAAGAATTACTAATAGAGATATAAGTAATTATCTTAGTATCTGGGGAAGCTGGTAAAACTAAACATATGACATTAATTTTTAATATAAATATATGTTGGGTAGTATGATATATTATAATTATTTCTTAAGTAATTATTTTACTGTGTTTTATAGGCAACAAAGAAGTTATTTTCCAAGTAGGTTATGTATTATTGTCAACAGTTTTTGTTTTCATTCCATGCAATTTGAAGACACATCATACATCAAGTTAGCATTTATTATGTATTTACCTTCTGTAGTTCATTGCACAAAAGTTTTTAGATCCCTTTGGGAATCTAAACCCTACAAATGTGCCTATATAACAATAGAGCAGAATTTTGCATGCAGTTCCTAGGATTTTTTAGCTAGAAATCTTTGTTTTAAAGAAAAATGCATTGATTTTCAATTATTTACTCCCATTTTAAAGAGGAGAACATTGAGCTATGAAGAATTATTCCAGAACATATAACGTGGAACTGGTGGATCATAAAGTCACAGAGCTGAGAGGATCTTTACAGGGTTTTAAACCCATTTCACAACCCTTTTTTTGAGCCCTTGAATTAACCTTGTCTTAAGAGTCCCTTCTGTTTTGAAAGGAGATGACCTCTAGTCACCTTTGATAGCCCAAGTCTATGTTGAATGCTCACTGTCAGATAAGTTGAATCATGTTGCTGGCTAGTGTGTGTTCTGTTGCTTTGCTTCACCCACTTATAATACTACATATTATAACAAAGAAGTCTAGGAAGCACTAGGATCTAATGTACAGATCATATTTATGTTTATTTATCAACAATAGTTTTATAGCTACAATTTATTTTTATTTATCTATTTGTCTGGGCAAGATCAAATTTGTTGTTTTGGTTTTGGTTTTTTTAGTTCTGCTACAAAGACAAGACTAATGAAGGCAGCAGGCTTTTTGGGGTCCCATTAAATACTGTATCCTTAACATAGGCCTTCTGGTATTGCCCTTGAATCTCTAAAATTTGTATAGTGGTGACATTATAGCAACTTTTAAAGTGTACACTATGTTAAAATTAGAAAGAAAGTAAAATTAGCATGGCCAAGATACATTTTTGTTTATTTGTGTTGGCTTTATTTCAGTTGGCAACATTGCATGCATTTTGCTATTTGTGCCTGTCTAGGGAACTGACTGCTCTACCCCATGCCCTCTGGGAACCTATGGGATAAATTGTTCCTCTCGCTGTGGCTGTAAAAACCATGCTGTCTGTTCTGCTGTGGATGGGTCTTGTACTTGCAAGGCAGGTAAGAGTGGGTGAATGAGTCTTTTATTTGATCCTGGTCTTGTTATCTCCTAAAGTCACAGGAAAGAAACCTTGACTAGGGGTCTAGCTCCAGCTGCACCAAAATTCAGTGCCTGATCCCAGCAAGCCCCTCATCCAGTGTGGGCTCTGATGCTTTCATGAGCCATAGGAAGAGGCTCACATTAGATGATCTCTAAAGTTGCTGCCAGCTCCAAAAGTCTGTGAGTCTGCACTTTAGGGAAGAGTAAACAAACAGACACGTGTCTGTGCTCCTAAATTGACTGGCCTGGAATCGTGACAAGAAATGCAGCCAAGCACAGATTTTATATGAGGCCCAGAATGTGTCCATCTGTAGGTGCAGCCAGGATCCCAAATACTCAATGTTCATGGTTAACGGGTTCTTCTTTAAAGATGGGGTTGAGGGCTGGCTGGTTAGCTCATTTGGTTAGAGCACATCCTCATAACAAGGTCCTAGGTTCAGATCCCCATACCAGTCAGCCACAAAACAAACAAACAAATAAACAAACAAACAAAAAATAAAGATGGGGTTGTTCTTTCAAGCACAAACCTTCCTCTCCCTCCATATAAATATTGCTGTGCTCTGATATGAACAAAACTCAGATTCCATGGTGTGTGTCACTGCACATTAAAGAAGCCCCCACTCCATATCTCTTCCCCAACAGCCCAGTAGTGCTTCTCAGCATTGGCATGCTTGACAGATCACACAGCACTCACAGTGTTGGGCTGTCAGAGTGCCTTTTGTTCATTTCTGATGGAGGCCTTACATGGCACAGCCGATGCTCTCTGCTGCTGGGCCTGCGGCTCAGAGCACTGTTGTGCATCTCCACAATGTTTCTAAGGAGAAACTTGGTTGGGAACGGTTCAGCAAAACTTTGTTGCTTTTGTTCCTTCACGTGCTCTGGCGTTCTTATTGTGCAGGCTGGCATGGAGTGGACTGCTCCATCAGCTGTCCCAGTGGCACGTGGGGCTTTGGCTGTAACTTAACATGCCAGTGTCTCAACGGAGGAGCCTGCAACACCCTGGACGGGACCTGCACATGTGCACCTGGCTGGCGCGGGGAGAAATGTGAACTTCCCTGCCAGGTACGCCCAAACCAGACTGGGAATGTCTGGGAGGAGCTGATGCTGGAGGTTTGGCTTCTTTTTGTGGTTTTCCTGATTTAAAGTGGCTGAGTATCAAACTTCACTAACTGTTAGAAGAATTGAGATGTTTTGATTTAAATTGGATATCGGATTGGAAAAGAGGTAGACATGGAAATTGGTTAGGTGGGCTTTGTGAAAATTTCTTTCTTCTTTTCCTTCATCTCTACCCTGTTTCCTCCACCCTGACACTTTATTTTCTATGTTTCTTATATGCCCCTCTCTCAGTGGCAGCAAGTCAACAGCGTTAGTCAAACACCCAGTGTATGCCTGTCAACTCTCCAAATATTTTGTTTCCATCATGATGGAAATCCCCCAGCCTTTGGGGTGGAAAGTGGTGGGGGGCTGAAAGAGGGGTGGTGATTGATGTCACAGAAATGCTCATTGAAGTGGTGAAAAAAGGTTTGGAAAAAGCGTCTTTCAATGTAATTATTTCTGGAGTCTTAAGACTGTCCTAAGGGGGGTGGTGATTGATGTCACAGAAATGCTCATTGAAGTGGTGAAAAAAGGTTTGGAAAAAGCATCTTTTAATGTAATTATTTCTGGAGTCTTAAGACTGTCCTAAGGTTTCATTAGTTCAATGCTCACTCCGTTCTCTTGATCCACTTTGGAGATACAGGTTGTGAGAAGTCTCCACTGTATTACTGCAGGCTGACAGAGGGGCATTCTCTTAGTAACTCGATGATTTGTCTTTCTTCTGAAGCACTTGACCAGTTTTTTTCCCTCTTAGCCGTCACCCTTTCTTCCCATCGCAATTCTTTTCTCTTGAGCCATTAAGCATTCTCTCGGTGGTGTGTGTTCTCTGCCTCCAGGACATCATCTGACTGCAAGATAACAATGTGATACTCTGAACTGGCCCCTCAAGGAGAAGTGCTTTTCCATGGAGGCTCTTCTCTCTCTGGGCTTCCTCCTCATTAAGTCCAACCCATTTCCCAAAGAAGAGTGTATCCCACCCTAGGCTATTCCATACCCAGAGTTAAGTTGGCTTTGCTGCCTCTCATCTGACCAGTGAACAAATGATCAGTGCTTGGAGATGGGCTTGAAGATCACCTTCCACTCCTATCTGATCGTAGACAAGCCAAAGCCTCTGGCACAATCTTGTCCTTTTTTGTACACTAGAGGAGTTAGTAAATCATTGAAGGCTGATGGTTTAGTGGTTCATTTCATGGCAGAGTTAAATCCTATGCAGCATTATAAAACACTAGCAGGGCCTACGAAATGGGTTAATTGTTGTTTTTTATTTTAACAAGTTTTAGAGAAATGATTATGCCATCTAACACTCACTACCTGTTTATGCTGGTTCCTGTGTTCCTCCCTCTTGGTAACTGTGCACCCTGCATTTTTCTAGTGCTTGGGTGGTATAAGGAGGTTTGTAGATCAATTCTCAGGATCTGGGGTGAAAGAGCAGGGCTTGTAAATGCAGAGCTTTCCATTCTTTTCTCACAAATGAAATGACCACATCCAGGAAGAGTACTATCTTGTTGGACTGCACAACTGATGTGCACGTGGAAACATAAAGCTCTGGGAGGAGAAGAGCGGGGAGGGTGTGCCCAGGCATACGTGGAATCTTGAATCAGGATTCTTTCTGTTTTAGACTTCTTCATGGAAAGGAGGATATATTAGGGAAAAGTAACACAAGGTTTTCATTTTTCTTTATAGTACCATGTATCCCATTGGCAACTTATGGAAACCAACTTAATTCAATTAGAACTATAATTTTTAAAAAATTTTTAGGGCTTCTTTATATAGGTCAGGGTCCTCTCTTTCCACTAAAGAATGGATTGTATTGTAGGAAACGCTGAACTATTTTATAAAAATCTTTAGGAGCAAAAGAAAATACTTTTATGAATTGTGGTTTATGGTAAGTTTCTTTTCATTAATGGGCACATTTACATATATTTGCATATGTGCATATCAGCACATTGGCATAATTGGTTTCACCATTGATATGTCCCAGTTGTTATGTCTGGCATAAACCAGGGTTTGAGCAATTTTAAAACACAGACCTCCTGGAGCCTACATTTTGGGGGCCAGGAAGATATAGGGAGAGTCAATTATGATGTGTGTTCCTGAAAGGCATTGGGAAGAGCAGGGCGCTTTATCAGAAATGGCTGATGTGGCCCTTTGATCTCCGTACTGGGCTTTCCCAGGCCCTCATTGCTGTCGTTGATGCTGTCTTCCATACAGGATGGCACATATGGGCTGCACTGTGCTGAGCGCTGTGACTGCAGCCACGCGGATGGCTGTCACCCCACCACGGGCCATTGCCGCTGCCTCCCCGGATGGTCAGGTGAGAGCCAGGGGCCGCCACGTGAAAGTGGAACCCACCAACTTAATGCCTTGCTACTTCAGAGAAACATGTGCAGGTCAACTTTTCAGAAAAAATAAAAATACGGTAAAGTCTCCAGTATACTGATACATTTTTACCCAAGAAATGTTATTGCTAGGCATAATTAATCTATAATCCAGGGCTGATTTTATGGTGATTTGAGAGGCCCAACTATCAGAATTCAGGCCAGCAAATGGGAAAAATGTGAATTTCTGTGAAGAGGTCAACAAGAACTCTGTGGTGTATTTTGAGCATTGAGGAAAGAATGATTTACATAAACCCTAAGACTATAACTAGGGTCACCTTAAGGAGGCAAAAATATTAAATTCTAATGTTAATACAGTTAATATGCAAATAATAAAGTATTAATTACTAGAAATAAAAGTTTTAAAACTTTCTTTTTCTTAAAATAATGTTTGAGTCATGGCAAGTTTTATAATATGGTTGAGTACTAATTCTCTAACCATAAGGTGGGTTTCTCCTCATTTATATGACTTCATGGTTTCAGCCGGGAAGTTTATCGAGCTAACAGTGGTCCTGGAAGAAGAAGGTTTTTGCTCATGATGTGCAGACTTGGAAAATGACATTAAATGTCCAAGCAAACCTGCATATCATGAGCAAAAATACTGCTCTTCAGGACCACGTTTTCTGGGTCATACAGTAACTCTGCTTTTTGGAAAAACTGTTTTCCAGAGCAACTACCATTTTACATTTCCACCAGCAAGGTATGAGGGTTCCAATTTTTCCATATCCTCACCAGCACTTGCTGTTATCTGTCTTTTTTTTTTAATGTATCTTTATTTTCATTACTTTCAAGAAATCTTTTGATTTCCTGTTTAATTTCCTTTTGGATCCGTATGTCATTCAGTAGCATGTTGTTTAATTTTCATGTTTTATTGGTATAGTTTCCAGAGTTTTGCTTGTTATTGATTTTGAGTTTTAATCTGTGTGGTCTGTAAAAATACTTGAAATGATTTCAATTTGTTCTTTTTTAATTTGATGAGTTTTGATTTGTGATCTAATTGTTGTCTATCCTGGAAAATGTTCTATGTGCTGATGTGAAGAATGTGTATTCTGTGGTTGTTGAATAAAATGTTCTGTAGATATCCCCCAAGTTCAATTGGTCTAAAGTGTGGTTTAAATCCTGTATTTCTCTGTTGATTTGTTGCCTAGATGATCTGTCCAATGTTAAATTCAGTCTTTTTTTTTTTTTACTTGGTGACTGGCCAGTAAGGAGTTCTGAACCTGTGACCTTGGTGTTATAAGGCTGTGCTGTAACCAGCTGAGCTAATCAGCCAGCCAATATGTCCAATATTGAGAATATAGTTTGGTCTAGTTTTTTAATTCAATCAATCCGTCTGTGTCTTTTGAGGGGGGAATTTAATCCATTTACATTTAGGCTTATTATTGAAAGATATTGACTTACTAATGGCATTTTATCAATTTTTGTTTGGATATTTTAAATATCTTTTGTTCCTTTCTTCCCATTTTATTGTTTGTCTTCCTTGTTTGTTGGTTTTTTTGAAGTGGTTAGATAAAGTTTCTCTTTCTTATTTGCATTTTTGCTCTACTACTGGGTTTCATTCTTTGTCGTGTATTCATGTAGTGATTATTGTTTTTAGATTCCAGATGCAGTACTCCCTTCAGGATTTCTTATACAGCTGGTCTTGTGGTGGTGAACTCCCTCAGTTTTTGTTTGGGAAATACACTATTTCTTTCTTG